CAGCCGAAGAAACAGCACGCCTCTTCATCTCCACCATCGTTCGACTGCACGGGATACTAGCCGCGATCATCAGCGACCGCGACACGAAATTCACCAGCAACTTCTAGCGGAACCTGTGGCAGCAGTTCGGCACGTGACTACAGTTCAGTTCATCATACCACCCCGAAACCGACGGACAGACAGAACGGACAAATCAGACCATGGAACAGCTCATCAGGGCCACGTGTGACGACCCGACCACGTGGGAACAGCAACTCCCACTAATAGAATTCGCGTACAATAACTCGCCATCCACCACGACCCAACAGTCACCATTTCACCTAAACTACGGACAAGACCCGACAGTACCCATGACCCCGAATCCCGACAACCCAGTACCACGAGCACAACAGTTCGCCGAAATATTACAAGCAGCACGGACCCGGGCAGTAGACGCAATAAAAAAATCGAACATCATCGCTAAACGCAACGCCGACTGCCACCGCAGACCTGTCACTTACCAGCCCGACGACTTAGTTTTACTTGAGACTCAGAACCTCCGACTGCCCATCACCCCGAAACTCCGCCCCCGATACTGCGGGCCATTTCGCATAAGCCACATGCTTACACCCGTCACCGCCCACCTCCTCCTCCCTGCTGACTGGTACGTCAGCCCCTCATTCCACGCCAGCCTACTTCGCCCTTACGTCCCGTCCACGAGCCAGCTGCCACGCAATCGCCCAGCCAGCATGACAAGACCACCAACTGAACCAATCATCACCCCCGAGAAAATCCTGAGTCACAGAGTTCGCGACCCTTGAGGAGCCCGAAGGATCGAGTTCTTACTCCGCTGGAAGGACCGTACACACACCGAAGAGGATTGGGTTCCCCTGGACAGAATCGAAAATCACCCCGTCCTCACCGAGTATCTGCGCAGCCGAAATTTCAGGAATGTACATGCACTTTCGTAAGGAGGACCTCCTTAAGGGGGTGGGGGTAGTGTAAGGAAAATCCCTTTTCCTTACTTCGCATCCCTGCTCAACGCGTACATCACTGTAGCACCACAGTCAGCACCGTTACCACTCACAACCCTCGCATCGACAATCCGCCCGCCACCTTCGCACGTCGCATCCCGACCTCACGGCTCGGCGGGTAACCCGCGCTCCGGGCCTCCGCTTCGACACTTTTCCCAACCACAGTCCCAGGCCCGTCGCGCGACAACCACAGTCCATTACCGTTACCACTGTAGTTTCGCTATATATTCTTCGCTCATGCCTTCGCTCATTGTACTCTTGCTTCGATAGTGCAATTCTCGTTCGTTCACTCAATTGCACTCGTAACAAAGCGCTAAATACACCTTTGGAATATAATACTTTTAGTCAGTCTTCACAAGGCCGTGTCACTATTCTATGCATTTGAACAACTTTTCTTCGAGATTTTGTGTTGTAACGTTTCAGGAGCATTCGTCGCCGCAAACATGAGATATGATCGCCGTACCTCGTCAGATCCGGTTACGTAGTCCCATGTGTTACGTGTACATCCACCAAAGTCACGTCGGTTTGGCTTGAACCACCTGTTCCACGTCCTAGTGTAGCCGGCGCTCCCCCTTCAGCTTTCACCACTGCTTTTAGCTACTGGCGGAAGCACGTCTCCGCGTCAAAACTAAGCTTGCACCTGAACTGTGACACGCGACTCCGCCAATTGTTTGTGAACCATCTTTCCGTTCCGCCTCTCAACCGCATCTGCAATTTCATTCGCTCGTGCCACCGCTTTTGCGCAAACTACTCCCCCCCTCACGACCAAAGCAGACGAGAGGAGGTTCCGTCCGTGGCGCTCGTGCGAGCGACACAGAAGTTCTCCGCACAGCACCACCTCCACCAGGGTGGGTTTTTCGCGTTGTACGTTTGCTCTCCCCCCTTCCCTGAAAATGCTGCGCCAGCCCCTTACCGCGGTCTGTGCCAAAAGTGGTGTTTTGCTCATTGGAAGCCCTCCTCAACCGTTGTACGCTGTGAACAAAGCCTTTTTCAGAATACCTGAATTATCCAGACGACTTTTAAGAAGACCCCCTCAATTACAGCAATTCCCTCGTAAACCCTCGCTAGCAGGCACATAAGTCTGACGACCAGAAGCTTACAGTCCCCTCCAACATCTTTGCTCCAAAAAAAGGGGGACTTGGAGCAAGTGGGAAGATCTTCCCCTCTTCCAGATTCCCACACCAACACCCACCCCGCTCCACCTCCTTCCCCGCGCACACACCTTATCGAGCGGAGCGATGCGATCGTTTTGGCGCAACAATCACGCGGATGTTGCTGCCGAACCACATTACTGTAACATTGTGCCACATGGCTTCTCTCACTCAGAACGTACTCAACCATTTGGAAATGTCTAGAAACTCTGTCTGCAGATATTACATCTCACACAACCGTACTTCTGCTCGTTTACGGCTATGACGTGCGCAGAAGGATGATGGATGCTTTTTTCAAGTACGAGTGCGGGGAGCAGGAGTGATTTTTGTTTGACGCGGCAGAAAAAAAGTGAGGCAGTAGAAACTATTTTGGGAACGTCTCACATTAGGGTTGCTAACAGCAAAAGGCTTGACTGACTATGACTGACTGACTGCTTAACTCGAACGAAGCGCATTGCTTTGTAAGCAAACGACTTACTAGGATACTGCTTCCCATTTGGCCGAAGTGACACTCGCGCAACCGTTTCTTTCCGTCATTGTTCCGACGACAACGTTAGTCGGTATTAGTTCGTGACTCTGACCACGGTTCATGAGGCTATATTGCCCAGTTGCGCCAATCTATTCAGCTCTTTCGCTCGTTTCTCTTTCCCATCTTGGCTATACTACCGCTTTAGGAGATTAAGTTTCTCCGTAAGAGGGCTACGAAGGCGTAACCTCCCTTATCTTTGTTGCAAGAGCATAGTTTTTTTTCTCAACTCGTTGGCTTCTCGTCAATGGGGGGAATGGAATGCGAGCCCAGCAGATACTCTATCAGAGCGTGATTTAGGCCTATATATATCTGAATCGTCCGCAGACGGAAGGCTTTGAGTCTAATCAGCGAGCGAAATGGCGAACGACAACAATGTGCGGATACTCTTCCCTTACATCCCTTCTCTCCTCTTACACTTACCCACAGACATGCGCACGCACACGCACGCGCACAGGCGCACACTTTATTGTTTGTTTGTTTTCTTCTTTTGCCATGATATGCACTTTCCCCCACGCATCCGCATCCTCGCGCGCACGCGCACAAGCACACAATATTGATTCCCGTATCTCTCTCGCTTCGTCCTCCATCGCTTCTCACCAACCCTAAGCTTCTCGCCATCTTTCTCGTCTCCCAACTCGACCCCCACGCTTCTCCCACCTCTTTCAAAACTAAACATTTCTCTCTTCTCTCTCCGCTGCTGCCCCTTACCATACCCTGCTCTCGCGTTTCTGGTCTTTCTTCCCTCGTTCGTCCTTGTCCTCCTCCTCATCACCATCCTCACGATCAACTTCATTGTCATCACCATCATCATCACCATCATCGTTTCATTGCCTTCGTTGTGATCATCCCCTGTGACCGTCGCAACCGCCGCAATCGCCGCTGCTACCTCTGGTGCCGGCCAGTCGGAGCGCCATCAGCGGTGGTTGCGGCGGCAGCTGCAGCAGCACATGCCGCGGCTTTTTCCGCTCATAGAAGAAGCGCTCGCGGCCTCCGCGCCCAACGCGCAGGTACTCTTCCCCCCTCCCCCTTCCCCCCTCCCCCCGTGCTTTTCTCATTCTTCATATCTTCTTGTCTGCTCGAACAATTTGTATGTAAAATTCTTAAAGCCAATCCCATTCGCCTCAGCCCCATTTCCCTCTCATCAACTGGTTATCACTCCGCTGCTCTCCTTTCATTGCATGCCCGCCCGCTCTTCCCCCCATCCACGTTGCTCCTATGCAACCCTTCTGTTGTGCCTGTCCCCGCTCACCACCCCCTCATGTCATCACCGTGTGATCCACATCACATCATAGGCGCTTAACCATTACCAGTTCGCGCCGCAGCTTTGGCTGTCCCTCTTGCAGCAATGCGAACGGGATTTTTTTTATTAGACGCCTAAAAAATCGTTTGAGAAATCCCCCCCTTCCCCGCCCTCCCCCTCCCCTTCTCATCTCTATTCGGCCTCCCCTACTCCCTCCCCTCCTCCCTTCCTTTCACCCCCATGTCGCATACTCGGCGTGCCAATCTTGCAGCAATTTGTACAGGACCCGAGTGTAGATGTGCTTATAACGGACGAGAACACTGCGTATGACGTGGAGGACCTCCTTGCTGACCTGGCATCACGAGGTGAGCGGAGGGAGGGGTGCACTGATTGTCTGTAGAGAGCTTGTGAGGGCATGCTAGGGAAGGCTGTGAGGGGCGGTTATGGATTGAACGTGGGAGCTATAGAAGGCTGTGCTATGCCTGCCTGCCTGCCTGCCTGCCTGCGGGGGATTGCTTGCCTTGGAGAGGGAGCATGTGGTGGGGTGTTACGGAATGGTCTTGGGACATGTTCTCAGCGAGCAGCAAACTTATTCAGGCTTAAAGCAAAAGATAGACAGTAAAAAACCTTCTGTAAAACTTAGATCTCAACAATCCGAGCTCAAGAACTTCAGCAGTAGAGTAAAACAAACATGTTTCGGCCGTTAAGGGGCTACCCTAGCAGGCCTTCATCAGTGCTAATGAAAGAAACAGAGCTAAGCTACGCTTCAAGAAGAAACGAAGCCTCAGAAAAACTGATCTCTAGGTTATCTACACCAGGTCAGCCCGAAATACGGGGACCAGTACATGTCACCCTTGAAAATTTCTCAGGTGGCCACGTCCTCAATCCTTGGAGCGTCGTCGTTGAAGTTCGAATTCGCATCCTCGCCAGGCAGCAACTGTGGAAGTCGCGCGCGTACCAGTAACCTGTTAAGGTTACAACCAATTTGCCATGCAACAAAAATCCTCTCCACATATAATCCGCGTGTAGTGAGTCGATTTTTGAGTCGACTCAAAAATTTTTACGGAATGGGAGCCTTGGGCAGGTAGCTATAGGAGCCTGTGAGAGGCTCCCTTTGCCGTGGGAGTGAGTCTGTGATGTTCGCTTCCCCTTCCTCCCCAGGGGTTCCCAGGGCGCAACAGCTAGACGCAGCAGAGCAGGAGAACGGAATAGAGGCAGAAGCGGTAGCAGCGTTCTCTCCCTTCTCCCTCCTCCCACGCTCATCCTTTTGAGGCGCCTCAAAAGTCGTTCTCTCCCTTCTCCCTCCTCCCACGCTCATCCTTTCCGGTCCCTCTTCCCACCCCCAACCCCTTCCCCTCATCCCCCTTCCCCGCTTCCCCCTTGCTCCCCAGGCGTGCCTGGAGCGCCCCAGCTAGACGCAGCAGTGCAGGAGAACGGAATGGAGGCAGAGGCAGAAGGAGTAGTGGTGTCCTTTCCGTTCTCCCTCTTCCCGTCCTCATCCTTCCCTTTCCATCCGCCCACCCCGCACCTCCTCCCCCTCCACTCCCCACTCGCCCCCGCTTCCCCCATTCCACAGGAATGCCTGGGGCGGAGCAGCTAGACGCAGCAGTGCAGGAGAACGGAATAGAGGCAGAGGCAAAAGCAGTAGTAGCATTCCTGCTGATCTCCCTCTTCCCGCCCTCATCCTTCCCCTTCCCTCTCCCCATCTTCCTCCCCACCTTCCCCTCGCCCCCAGGAGTGCCCGGGGCGGAGCAGCTAGACGCAGCAGTGCAGGAGAACGGAATAGAGGCAGAGGCAGAAGGAGTAGTGGTCTTTTTCGATGTGCTCATGGCGGTTCTAGATCAATACTTGGGGAACAGACTTGGGAGTAAAGGGGAACCGGGCGATTGGGCGAGTGGGAGTGGAGAGGAGAGTGGGAGTGGTGGTGGGAGTGAGGAGGAAAGTGGGAGTGAGAGAGGGAGTGAGAGGGGGAGTGAGGGGGAGAGTGAGAGTGAGAGAGGGAGAGAAAGCGGGAGTGGGAGCGTGGAGGAGAGAGGGAGCGGGAGTAGGAGTGGGAGTGGGAGTGGGAGTGAGAGGGGAAGTGAGAGAGGGAGTGATAGTGGGAGTGATGTGCCCGTGGGAGCAATGGTGGGAGATGAAGACGAGGGAGAAGGGGAGTATGGGTATGAATATGAAGGGGAGCGATCAGGGGAGGAGGATGTGTCAGATGGTGGGGAGGGGAGTGAGGGAGATTTGGATGAGGAGGAGGTGAGTCGAGAGGAATTGAGCGAAGAGGGATCGAGTGAAGAGGAAATGAGGGATGAGGAAATGAGGGATGAGGAAGGGAGTGAGAGAGATTTGAGTGAGGAGGATTTGAGGGATGAGGAAGGGAGTGAGAGAGATTTGAGTGAGGAGGATTTGAGGGATGAGGAAGGGAGTGAGAGAGATTTGAGTGAGGAGGAAATGAGGGATGAGGAAAGGAGTGAGAGAGATTTGAGTGAGGAGGAAATGAGGGATGAGGAAAGGAGTGAGAGAGATTTGAGTGGGGAGAGTGTGAGTGAGGAGGAATACGATCCTGATAGGCAAGGGGGTGAGGAGGAGGAGGAGGAGGAGGTGGACAGAAGTGGCAGTTTTGATGGTGATGTGCAGGAGAGTGGGGATGGGTACGACTCGGAGGAGTATGCTGCTGCAGGGAGAGGGGCCGAGGAGCATGGGGATGGGGATGGGCATGGGGATGGGGATGGGGATGGGGATGGGGACTCGGACGGGGATGGGGATGGGGACTCGGACGGGGATGGGCGTGGGAGTGAGGCGGAGGAACTGGAGGGGGATGATGATGCAGAGTATGCGAGTGAGAGTCGGAGTCACAGTGTTGGGGGTAGCGCTGCTGACAGTGCCAGTGAGAGAGGTGGTGAGAGTGGTAGTGAGATTGGCAGTCGCAGTGGCAGTAGCAGGAGCGGCAGCGGCAGCGGTGGCAGCAGAGGGAGTGAGGATGGAGGGGGTGGGAGTGAGGGTGGTGATTATAGGGATGATCCGCCTGGGGATGATGGTGTTTATAGTGATGAGGATGATGATGGTGGGAGTGATGATGATGGGAGTGATGGTAGTGATGATGTTCCTATTGCTCGGCCAGGGGACATGGATGGTCAAGGCGACTGGTCCCGTGGAGGTGAGTCACAAGGAGAGGATGATGTGTCACATGGGGAGGATGAGGAGTCGCAGGAGGAGGATGACGTGTCACATGATGAGTCACAAGGAATGGATGACGTGTCACATGGGGAGGATGAGTTGTCACATGGGGAGGATGACGTGTCACACAGAGAGGATGACGAATCACATGATGAGTCACGCGGGGAGGATGACGTGTCACATGGTGATGAGCAGAACGTGCATGGTGATGCTGAGCTGTATGGGGATGACCATGATTCACGTAGTGGTAGCTATGACTCGCATGGGGATGAGCAGCCGTTTACATCAGGCCCTGTGTCTGCATCAGCATCAGAATTGGATGCAGAATCGCAAGGCACGGGATCAGAGCAGGATTTAGGTCTGAATCGCGATTTGGAGTCAGAGCAAGATTTGGGTTCGGAGCAAGATTTGGGTTCGGAACAGGATTTGCGGTCGGAGCAAGATTTAGGTTTGGAATCGGAAGAGGAGACAGGTTTAGGACAAGATAGGGGTTCGGAAGAAGTGACGGGATCGGAACAGGATATGGGGTCGGAGCAGGATTTGGGATCGGAGCATGATAGGGAATCAGATGAGGAGGTGGGATCGGAGGATGATTTGCCGCGCGACCTGGTTCCAGAAGCACGCATGGGATCAGAGCACGGTACAGAATCGGAACAGGATATGGGGCCGGAGCAGGATATGAGATCGGAAGAAGATACGGGGTCGCAGCATGAAATGGGATCGCAAGACGGCATGGAATCGGAAGAAGATATGGGATCGGAGGTAGAAGGGTCGGAGGGACACATGGGTTCTCAACTGGGTGGAAGCTCGGAAGAGGATTTGGGATCGGAACATGATGAAGGATCGGAAGAGGATATGGGATCGGAGGGAGAACTGGGGTCGGAGGAAGAGTCGGATGATGATGCTGATATAGTTGTGGCAGCAGCGGCAGTGGTGGGCGACAGTCGGGAGTATGGTGATGGGATGGAATCGGAACAGGATATGGTATCAGAGGGAGGCACGGGGCCGGAGGGAGAGTCGGATGATGATGCAGTGGTGGCATCAGCAGCAGTGATGGGCGACAGTCGGGAGTATGGTGGTGGGATGGCATCGGAACAGGATCAGGACATGGGATCAGAGGGAGACACGGGGTCGGAACAAGAGTCGGATGATGATGCTGTGGTGGCAGCAGCAGCAATGATAGGAGACAGTCAGGAGTATGGTGATGGAATGATATCGGAACAGGATATGGGATCAGAGGGAGACTTGGGGTCGGAGGGAGAGTCGGATGATGATGCAGTGGTGGCATCAGCAGCAGTGATGGGCGACAGTCGGGAGTATGGTGATGGAATGGAATCTGAAAGGGGTGGATCAGAGGGAGACATGGTATCAGATGGAGACATGGTGTCGGAACAAGAGTCGGATGATGATGCAGTGGTGGCAGCAGCAGCAGTGGTGGGAGTGGGAGACAGTCGGGAGTATGGTGATGGGATGGAGGTGGAGGGGGGTGTGCGGCAAGAGGGTATGGGGTCGGAGCATGATGAAGGATCGGAAGAGGATATGGGATCAGAGGGAGAACGATCGGAGGAAGAGTCAGATGATGATGCGGTGGTGGCATCAGCAGTGGTGGGAGACAGTCGGGGGCACGGTACAGGGTCAGAGCATGATGAAGGGTCGGAAGAGTCAGATGATGAGGCAGTGGTGGCATCAGCAGCAGTGGTGGGAGACAGTCGGGAGTATGGTGATGGGATGGAGAGGGGGGACGGAGAAGAGCAAGAGGAGGACGAGGAGGAGGTGGAGGAGGAAGATGAGGAGGAGGGATGGGACAAGAGCAACGAGGGGGAGTGGCAGTTGGATCAGGGGCAATACGACCAGTCGCAGCAGGAGGGTCATACGGCCATCTCTCGCTCTTCCTCTCACTCTTCCTCTCACTCTCACTCCCTCTCTCATTCTCGCTCTCATTCTCGCTCTCCCTCTCGCTCACCTGCTCACTCTCCCTCTCGCTCCCCCTCTCGCTCCCCTCTGTCTGCTTCCTCTGCCGCCTCTGATTCCTCAGCTGACGATGAATCTGTTCCCGTGGCCTCTCACTTGCCTTTTGAGACTCCTCAAAAGCCTTCATCTCCTGACAGAAAAAGTGCCTCATCTGACGACGATTCTGTTCCCCTGGCCTCTCAGTTGGCTTCTGAGGCGCCTCAAAAGCCATCCTCCGATTCCTCGTCTGATGATGAAGACTCTGTTCCCGTAGCCTCTCAGCTCGCCTCCTCCTCTCTCCCTCCTGCCACTGCCGCACCATCACAACAGCTCCTTTCTCACCCGCATCAAGAACCAGAAACTTCCGTCACACCTGCCTCTGTCCCCCTTGCTGCTGAGACTCCTGCAGGCGAGGGGGCTTACAGTGGGGAATCGGCAGTGGGGAGCTTACAAGGGCAGGTGGGGAGAGAGTATGGGGGTGAGGGGCGGTTGGGGGAACGGGCAGATGATGGGGGCATGAGGGAGCAGCTAAGGGACTCTATGAGTGTTGAGGGAAGGTTGAGTGGGGCGAGAGGGAGTGGGGAGGGATCAGGTGCTGCTGCTGCAGTAGCAGCAGGAGAAGCAACAACAACAGCATTAGCAGCAGGAGCAGCAGTAGAAGCAGCAGAAGGAGCAGTGGCAGCAGCAGCAACACCGGCAGAAGAAGCAGAGGGGAGGGGGGAGGGGGAAGCAGCAGCGGAGAGAGATGGTTCACAGGGCACAGAGGGGAATGGTGGGGAAGAGGGGGAGAGTCCCGGGTCAAGCAGAGGAGAGGGGGAGGGGGAAGGGGCTGTGGAAACGCCAGGGGGGCGGGGACGGGGGAGGGGGAGGGGGAGGGGCATAGCAAGGGGAAGGGGGGACGGGCAACTGGGCGTGGACGTGGGCGGAAGGGGACGAGAGGGGATTGTAAGGGGAACGAGTGGGGATGGTAGAGGGGGAAGGATGGGGGGAAGGGCGGTTGCGGGGAGGGGCAGGGGGAGGGGAGTGTGGGAAGGGGGAGGCGGAGGGTGGGGTCAGGGCCCTGGGCGGGGACGGGGGAGGGGGGGGCAGGCGGGGGAGGTGGGGGAAGGAGGGGGCGAGGAAGGGGGTGAGGGAAGCGCGGAGCAGGATCAGGAACAAGGAGAAGGGGCAGCGGAAGGGGGAGAGGGGGCTGTTGAAGGGGGAAGAGGGCGGGGGAGGGGACGAGGGGGGTTAGGGGGACGTGGGCGGGAAGGGGGGCTTGGGAGGGGCATGGGGAGAGGGCCGGGGAGGGGGGTACCCGGGGGGAGAGGTGCAGGGGGGAGGGAGGGGGTTATGGGTAGGCTTGGGGGGAGAGGGCGGGGTATGGGAGTGGGGAGAGGGCGTGGGAGGGAGATAGGCGGAAGGGGGAGGGGGAGAATGGGGCCTGGGGGAAGGGGCGTGGGTCTAGATGCAGATGCAGCAGTAGCAGAAGCAGCAGCAGTGGCAACATCAGCAGCAGCAGGAGAAGCAGCAGTAGGAGAAGGAGAAGAAGGGGACAGAGAGACAGGAGAGGGAAGAGGCGAAGAGGAAGAGTCAGCAGCCGTGGCAGGAGGGGCAGTGGAAGCAGTGGCGAAAGGAGGCGATGGGGGGTTTGAGAGGGGTAAAGATGGGAGCGTGGGAAGTGGAGAGATGGAGTATGGTTACGAGGAGTGGAGAGATGAGGAAACACCGAGGCAGAGAGAGGAGGAGCAAGAGGAGGTTGTTGTGGGAGGTGAGAGCAAGTCTGTTTTGGAGTCTGAGTCGAGTCATGAACAGCAAGTGGTTGCTGCGGGGGTTGAGGAGAAGGGTGAAGCAGAGAAAATCGACGAAGCAGAGATGGGCAAGGCAGGGGACAAGGGCGAAGCAGGGGAGGAGGGCAAAACAGACGGGAACAGGGAGGAAGAAAGGGAGGAAGGCAACGTGGAGGGAAGCGAGAGCAAGGAAGTGGATAGGGATAGGGATAGGGATGTGGTGGTGGTTGTTGGTGTGGACATGGCAGGGCAAGAGTGGGAGGCGCAGGGATTGAGGAATGAGAGGGAAACCGTAGCACAGGGGAATTCAGGAGGTAGCAGGCTGGAGGTGAGGGAGCAGAGGCAGCAGAGGGAGGATGGAGAAGGGATGGAAGGCAGCAGTCGGGAGGATGGGGTGGATGGTGATGGGGAGAGGGAGGGTGTGAGGGAGCGAGCTGGAAGTGAAAGGGTGGAAGGGAGTGAGGGGATGGAGAGGGGGAGTGTGGATGAGGAGGGAGCTTATGAGAGGCAACAACAGCATTGGAACGAGCAGTGGAGAGAGAAGGGGAGTGAGGAGGGGAGTGAGAAAGGGAGCGAGGAGGGGAGGGAGGAGGGGAGCGAGAAGGGAAGTGAGGAGGAGAGTGATGATGATGTGGTGATGGCAGCAGCAGCAGGGGGGGGGAGTGATGGTGATGGTGATGGTGATGTTGATGTGGTGATGGCAGCAGCAGCAGGGGGGGGGAGTGATGGTGATGGTGATGGTGATGTTGATGTGGTGATGGCAGCAGCAGCAGGGGGGGGGAGTGATGGTGATGGTGATGGTGATGGTGATGTTGATGTGGTGATGGCAGCAGCAGTGGTGGAGGAAAGTGATGGAGAGTCGGGAGACGAGGGGAGAGAGGAGGGTAGCCTGAGGGAGGTGGATGGTGCGGAAGGTAGGAAAAGGATTTGTGAGTGGGGGAGTGAGAGAGGGAGTGCGAGCGGGAGTGAGAGGGAGTGGGAGGGAATCGATGCAGTTCGAGAACGGGGGCAGCAATGGGGAGAGGAGGAGAGTGAGCCTGGTGATATGGACGAGATGGAAGCGGAAGGGAGAAGTGAAGGGGGAAGTGAGACGGGGAGTGAGCAGAGGAGTGGAGGAGAAAGTGAGGAGGGAAGTGAGGAGGGAAGTGAGAAGGGAAGTGAGAAGGAGAGTGAGGAGGGGAGTGAGGAGGGGAGTGAGGAGGGGAGTGGGGAGGAAAGAGAGGATGGTGATGTGTATGCATTGGAGGATGAGCAGAGAAGCGAGGGGGGGAGTGAGAGTAGAGGGGGACGTGATGAGGTTGATGACAGAGATGGGTTTGAGAGAGGAAGTGAGAGTGGGAGTGAGAGAGGGAGTGAGGGTGGGAGTGAGGCGGAGAGCGATCGGGAGAGTGTGGAAGGGAGTGTGAGAGAGAGCAGTGAGGATGCAAGAAGTGAGGAGGAGAGGAATGAGGAGAGGAGTGAGGAGGGGAGCGAGGAGTGGAAGGGAGACACTGCAGAGTTGGAGGGGAGGGAGGGAAGGGATGACGAGGAGGATGAGGACAATAGCAGAAGTGGGAGTGATTCTTCGGGAGGGGAAGAGGAGGCGGAAGGGGAAGGAGAAGAGGAGGAGAGAAGAGGAGGCAGTGAGTTTGGGGAGAGGAGTGGATCAGAGAGTGGGCGTTCGGAGGAGGAGTATGGTTCGAGAGTGGAGGGTGCAGAGAGGGAGGATTCGCGTGTGTGGGAGCAAGGGGAGGAAGATTCGCGTGTGTGGGAGCAAGGGGAGGAAGATTCGCGTGTGTGGGAAGGGGAGGATTCGCGTGTGTGGGAGCAGGAGTCAGGGGATGAAGCTTCGGAGAAAGAAGGTTCTGAGAGGGGCTCTATTGCTGAGGGGTCAGAGGACGGGGTTGGGAATGGGGATTTGGATAGTATGAGTGAAACTGAAGGATCAGAGGGGATGGGGGTGGAGGAGAGGGTGGAGGGAGGAGGTGGATTGGAGGCTGGGGAGAGAGATGAAGAGGATGAAAGATTGGAAGAAGAGAGATCAGAGGATGAGAGATCAGAAGAGGAGAGATCAGAAGAGGAGAGATCAGAAGAGGAGATATCAGAAGAGGAGATATCAGAAGAGGAGATATCAGAAGAAGAGAGATCAGAAGAGGAGATATCAGAAGAGGAGATATCAGAAGAAGAGAGATCAGAAGGAGGGGAAGCGGATGGAGTGTGGGCAGTGGAAGGGGAGGAGGAGGAGGAGCAGCGAGAGCAAGAGGAGGAGACAGATGAGGAGGAAAATCAGGAATCAGGGGACGATGGGAGATTAAAAGAGCTGGAGAGTGGGAGGAGGTGGGATGGGAAAGAGAGAAACGAAGGGAGTGAGGGGAGTGAGGGAGGAGAGGAGAGTGAGGGTAGCGAAGAGGAGTTTGAGCAAGTGAGGGAGGAGTCGAGAGAGTGGGAGGGGGAAGGTGTTGATGGGGGTACAGGAGAGTGGAGGGATGAAAGTGGAAGGTTTGATTGTGCTTTGAGTGGTAGGAGTGATGGGATGGAGAGAGATCAAGGAGAAAGGAGTGAGGAGGGAAGTGAGGATAGGGGTGAGGAGGGGAGTGAGGAGGGGAATGAGGAGAGGAGTGAAGAGGGGAGTGAGGAGAGAAATGAGGAGGGAAGTGAGGAGGGAAGTGAGGAGAGGAGCGTTGTGGGGAGCGAGGAGAGGAACGAGGGTGGGAGTGAGGGGAGGAGCGAAGAGGAGAGGAGTGAGATGGAAGAGGTTTGGGACGGGAGGAGGGATCAGGGTGATGAGGCGATGATCGGGCATAGTGATGGGGAGGAGAAGGGAATGCAGCATAGTGACAGTGAGGAGGAGGGGAGATGGGAGGAGGAGGGGAGTGAGAGAGGAAGCCAGCACATGGAGGGTTCAGAGTATGAGAGGGATGGGGGGAGTGAGGATGAAGAGTACGAGAGAAGCGAAGAGGAGAGGAGTGAGGACGAGGAAGAGGAAAGGAGTGAGGAGGAAGATGAGAGGAGTGAGGAGGAGGAAGAGGAGGAAGAGGAGGAGGAGGAGGAAGAGCAGGAAGTACCGGTGGTGCTGGCTGCTGGTCCGTTTGTGAGAGCAGCAGTTGGATCAGCGGTTGCAGCTGCAAGGGAGGATGGGAGCAACATAGAGGAATCTAGAGAGGAAGGAGAGGAGGAGAGTGAGGTGGAGAGTGAGGAGGGAATGGATGAGGCGGATGAGGAGGAGAGAGCTTTGAGCGTGGAGCAGGACAGTGAGGAGGAGAGTGAGGTTGAGGGAGAGGAAGGGGGAAGGCAGGAAGGTGGTAGGGAGAGTGAGGATGAGAGGTATGGGGAGAATGAGGAGAGTGAGGAGGGGAGTGAGGGGGGACGTGAGGAGGAATTTGAGGAGGGTGGATCGGGAAGGAGAGATGAAGAAGACATGCGTGCAGAGGTGATGGTAGGGGAGGAGGGAGGGGATGGGGCGAGTGGGAGTGAGAGTGAGAAAGAGAATGAGAGAGAGAGAGAGAGTGAGAGTGAGAGTGAGAGTGGGAGTGAGAAAGGGGAGGACGGCCATGGAGGGGCGGTCATGTACAGAGAAGCAGAGGGGGACCCGGAAGGAGACATGTATGGGGATGGGATGCAGGAGGATGGGATGCAGGAGGATGGGTCATCAGTGCACGAGAGTGACAGTGAGGAGGGGAGCATGAGAGAGAGTGAAGAGATGCGTGGGGCACGTGGGATGGAAGGAATGGAGGGGATGGTTAGAAGTTTTGATAGCGATGGTGAAGGGGATATGTATGGGGATGGGGAGAGCGGTGAGCTGATTGATGGGCGGAAGGATGGGGAGCAGGAGATGTATGGGGATGGAGGGAATGGGGAGGATGGGCGCAGTGATGGGGAGGATGGGCGCAGTGAAGGGGAGGATGGGCGCAGTGAAGGGGGTTTATCAAGGGAAGAAGATGAGGATGAGGAGAGGGTCATGCATGGGGATGAGGAAGAGGAAGAGGATGTAGCAGGGGGAAGGTCCGCACACGAGAGTGATGATGAGGAAGGAGAGGTGGAGAGGAGTGGAGAGTGGGAGCGGAGTGGAGAGATGGAGAGGAGTGGAGAGTGGGAGCGGAGTGGAGAGATGGAGAGGAGTGGAGAGTGGGAGCGGAGTGGAGAGATAGAGAGGAGTGGAGAGATGATGGGTGGAGTGGTGGGTGGTTCACACATGGGGTTTGATGCAGGTCCATGGGAGCATGCGGAAGCTGAGGAAGAATCAGGGGAGGGGGAGTCAGAGGAGGAGGGGTCAGAAGATGGAGGGTTGGAAGAGGGGGGGTTGGAAGAGGGGGGGTTGGAAGAGGGGGGATCGGAAGATATGGGATCAAGAGGAGAGAGTGTGGATGGGGAAGAGGATATGTATGGGGATGGCACTACAGCAGGGCTTTTGGGAGATGAAACGGGGTGTGCACAGCATGGCATCGACCAATCAGGAGGTGACATGGGCATGGGCATGGACATGGGGGGTTCAGTAGACTCTGAGAGTGATGGCTATGATGGGATGGGTCATTCAGGGGAAGTGCCTGAAGTCTCAGGTGAAATTTCAGGTGGTTTGATGGCCCAGGTGGGTCAGATGCAGGATGGGAGGCCTGGTCCCTATTTAGTGTATTCAGGTGAAATGGCAGCATCAGGAGAGGTTACACCTTTAGGGGATGTTGGGTGGCAATCAGGAGGAGAAGAAGCAGAGCGAGGGCTTGGGGATGATGGTCTTGATTCGGGAGATGACATGGATGCTTCAGAAGATGAAACGAGGGAGTTTGAAGATGGAACGAGAGAGATTGAGGATGGAACGGGCGAGTTTGGGGACGAAACGAGGGAGCTTGGGGATGAAACGAGAGAGCTTGGGGATGAAACGATGGAACTAAAGGATGAGACGAGGGAGTCTGAGGATGAAACGAGGGAGTCTGAGGATGAATCGAGGGAGTTTGAGGATGAAACGAGGGAGTTTGCGGATGAAACGAGGGAGTTCGCGGATGAAACGAGGGAGTTTGCGGATGAAACGAGGGAGTTTGGGGATGAAACGAGGGAGTTCGCGGATGAAACGAGGGAGTTCGCGGATGAAACGAGGGAGTTTGCGGATGAAACGAGGGAGTCTGGGGATGAAACGAGGGAGTCTGAAGATGAAACGAGGGAGTCTGGGGATGAAACAAGGGAGTTTGAAGATGAAACGAGGGAGTCTGGGGATGAAACAAGGGAGTTTGAAGATGATTCGGGGGAGTTTGGGGATGAAACGAGGGAGATTGAGGATGAAACGCGAGAGCCTAAGGATGAAACGAGGGAGTCTGAGGACGGAACGAGGGAGTTTGAGGATGAAACGAGGGAGTTTGGAGATGAACTGGGTGAGGCTGGCAACATGCCAATCACAATGGAGCAGTCAGGCGAGGCAGTGGAGCTTTCTGGAGATGAAACGAGTCAGTTAGGGGATGAAACGGGTGACTACGAAGGGACTGGGGAGTACAGTGGAGAGCACATGGAGAGGGGCGAAGGAGAGGAGGGGAGTGCGAGTGAGGGAGAGAGGAGTGAGGAGGAAAATGAGGGAGAGGGAGAGAGGAGTGAGGGAGAGGGGAGTGAGGGAGAGGGTGAGGGAGAGGAGAGTGAGGGAGAGACTGAGGGAGAGAGGAGTGAGGAAGAGATTGAGGGAGAGAGGAGTGAGGAGGAGAGAGAGTTAGAGATTGAGAGAGAAAGGAGTGAGCAAGAAAATGAGGGAGAGAGGAGTGAGGAGGAGTGTGAGGGAGAGACTGAAAGAGAGAGGAGTGTGGGAGAGAGTGAGAAAGAGAGGAGTGAGGGAGAGAGTGAGGAAGAGCGGAGTGAGGGAGAGAGGAGTGAGGAAGAGCGGAGTGAGGGAGAGAGGAGTGAGGAAGAGCGGAGTGAGGGAGAGAGGAGTGAAGGAGAGAGGAGTGAGGAAGAGAGTGAGGGAGAGATGACTGAGGAGAGGCACTGGGCAGAAGAGAGCGGTGTTGTGGATGGGGAAGAGGGTGGGTCGAGTGGGAGTGAGGGTGGTGTGGTAGCAGCTACGATGGTAGAGGAAGACGAGGACGAGGAGGAGGAGGAGGAGGAGGAGGGAGATGAAGAGGAGGAGAGTGGAGAGGAAGAGATAGGAGGAGGGAGTGAGATGGGAGAGGGTGAGAGTGTGGGAGGATGGGTGGAGAGCGGTGAGGGACATAGGGGTGGAGAGAGGGGACTGGAGGGTAGGTGGGGCATGCAGAATGGAATGGAACTCGGTGGCATGGGTATGAGTGCGGATGGCATGGATATGGATGCAGATGACATGCGTGTTGATTCAAATGACATGGGTGTGCATTCAGGTGGTGGTGTGGATATGAAGTTCGGTGTACTGGATTCCATTGGTAAGGACGCACTTGGAGGGACTAAGCCAAGCGTTGTAGGGAGTGAAGGGGGGGAGGCATGGGAAGAGGAGGAGAGCAATGCACTTGAGAGGGGAGATGGCGTGGGGAGTGACGAGGAGAGTGAGAAAGAGAGTGAGGAAGATGAGTGGGAGAAAGAGGATGAGGGCCGAGGCTTGGAGAATGGCACAGCTTTGCAGGGCGCCCGAGGCTCGGAACCGCATGGAGGTTCGGAGGATGGCTCGGACCGAGCCTCGGATGTGGGAGAAGGAAATGGAGTAGCAGGGTCTGACGAGGATTATGATGACGTGGCAGAGGCTGAGATTGTTGGTAGAATGTCAGGTGATCTGCCACGTGAGGTGTCAGGTGAGGCGTCAGGTGAATTGTCAGGCGATTTTGGACTTTCAGGTGAGAATTGCGTTTCAGGAGGAGAGAAGGCCATGCAGAGTCATGCCATGCAGAGTCATGCCATGGCAAACGTGGCTGGTAGTAGTACTGACATGGATAGCAGGGATGCCGCCACCACCCTTGCCCCTGGGAACACATTGTTCCAGTCTCAGCAGCAGTCCTTGCATTCAGAGAGCGAGTCTGAGGGGTCTGCGGGATTGGCAATAGCTGCAGCAGCACCAGCGTTGGGGGCACAGGAAGCAGCAGCAGGAGGGCAGCAATCAGTCGCAGCAGCAGCACCAGCAGCACCAGCAGCAGCAGTAGCAGCAGCAGCAGCAGCAGTAGCAACGGCAGCAGAACCCAAAGAAGCAGCCGCACCATCACCACCAGAAGCAGCAGCAGCCGCAAACGTGGGAGGAGCAGCAGCATTGGTGGCGAAGGCAGAGCCTTCGGTGCTAGAAGTAGCAGCAGAGGGGAAGAATACGCAGCAACAGATGCAGCAGCAGCAGCAGCAGCAGCAGCAGCAGCAGCAGCAGCAGCAGCAGCAGCAGGAGAGTGTGCAGAAGAAGGAGAGTGGGTGGGTGTCGTGGATGGGAGGTGCAGTGGCAAGCCTGCTCACCCCACATGTGCGGAAACCCTCTGTTGACGTCACTGCAATGCAGGCTGCAGCGCCTCCTCAAGTATTACCTGAGGTAACACCTGAGAAAACACCTGATGTTACAGCACCTGCTGGTGTTACGGCACCTGATGTCACGAAAGGTGGCCTTTCAGCAGTGCAAGAGCTACCTTGTAGTAAGGATACAGGCACCTTTTTAACAGCTGGTAACGGTCCCTTGCCACTAGAACACGGCATGGCTCCTGAGGCGAACCCACCTGCCCCTGCCGAACCTGCTGTTACCGAGCCTGTCACTGCCAAGCCTGCTTTTGCCGAACCTGTGCCTGCCGAGCCTCTGTTGTGGAAGTCTGCTGGAGAGGGAACAGAGGGGGCGGTACTGTTTCAGGTGGCTGGGAAAACACCTGCGTCAGGTGGTATGGTGCAGTCAGGTGGGACTGGGACCCTGCCAGGTGAATTCCCAGGAGGTTTACTCCAAGGGAAGATGCCCAACGGGTATGCTAGTATGGCAGCATCGGAAGGAAGTGTGGGAAGTGGAAGGAGCGAGGGAGCCGAGAGTGAGGAGGGTGAGGGGAATGAAGGGGGTGAGGGGAGTGAAGGGGGTGGGGGGAGTAAATTGGGTGTGGGGAGTGAAGGTTTGGAGCGTGGTTCCAGTGGTATGAGTGAAGAGAGGACAGGCGATATGTATGGTGCTGGAGAAGGTGATGCGTCTGGTGGGGAGGAAGGGGATATGTATGGTGAGGGTGGTGGAAGTGATGCATTCAATGGGGAGGAAAGGGACATGCATGGTGGGGAGAAAAGTGATATGTATGGTGATGGTGAGAGTGATAATTCTGGTTGCGGGGAAGGGGATATGTATGGTGGGGAGAGAAGCGATATGTATGGTGAGGGTGAGAGTGGTAATTCTGGTGGAGAGGAAGGGGATATGTATGGTGGGGAGAGAAGCGATATGTATGGTGAGGGTGAGAGTGATAATTCTGGTGGAGAGGAAGGGGATATGTATGGTGGGGAGAGAAGCGATATGTATGGTGAGGGTGAGAGTGATAATTCTGGTGGAGAGGAAGGGGATATGTATGGTGGGGAGAAAAGTGATATGTATGATGATGGTGAGAGTGATAATTCTGGTGGCGGGGAAGGGGATATGTATGGTGGGGAGAGAAGTGATATGTATGGAGAGGTTGAAAATGATATGTCTAACAGGGAGAAAGGTGATGTGGATGGTGAGGGTGAAAGTGATGCTTCTGGTGGGGAGGAAGGGGATATGTACGGTGAGGAGAGAACAGAGGAGTTAAGTGGGGTGCAACGATCACATGAAGGATGGAGAGAAGAATCCGAAGAGAGAAGGTCCGACGAAGAGGGGAGATCAGAAGACGAGAGGTCAGAAGAAGGGGAGTCAGAGGAGAGGGAAGGATTAGAAGAGGGGAGGTCAGAAGAGGGGGCATCAGAAGAAGGGAGGTCAGAAGAGGGAGAGTCGGAAGGGGAGGAGAGAGATGAGCGAGATTCACAGGGTGAGTTCGCTGAGAGGCGTGATGAGTGGGGCGGAGAGAGAGGCTCAGGTGCAGAGTGGGAGGATGGGCAGGAGGAGCAATCGCAGAATGGGGAAGAGGAAGAGGAGGAGGAGGAAGAGGAAGATGAGGAGGAAGGAAGAAGGCATGCAGATGGAGCAAGGATGGGAGAGGGGTTTCCAAGACCGTGGGAGCAGCAGGGTGGGTGGGAGGGACAGGAGAGCGAGGAGGGGGAAGAGGAGGAGGAGCAAAAAGAGGAGGAAGAGGAGGGGGACAGGCGATGGGGAGGCGAGGACTGGGGCGGACAAGGAGGAGGAGGAGGAGGAGGAGGAGGAGGAGGAGGAGGAGGAGGAGGAGGAGGAGGAGGAGGAGGAGGAGGAGGGGACGGGAGGTTTCTTGAAGGGAACGATGGGAGGGTTCTGAATTTGAACCGGGAGGAGGATGGAGAGTCGGATCTGATGAGCGATGGTGGAAACGGCATGGGTTCATTTGAGCAGCGGGAGGATTATCATAGCGGCGAGCATAGCGGCGAGCATAGCGGCGAGCGTAGCGGCGAGCATAGCGGTGAGGATCGAGAGATGGGTGCTGATGGTGTTGATATGGGGTGGGATGAGAGGAGGAGTGAAGGGAGCTTCGTGGGGAGGAATGAGGAGGAGAGGAGCGAGGAGGAGGAGAGGAGTGGGGAGGAGGAAAGGAGTGATGAGGAGGGGAGTGAGGAGGAGAGGCGTGAGGAGGAGAGAAGTGAGGAGGAAGAGAGGGATGAGGAGGAGAGGAGTGAGGAGGAAATGCAGAGGGGGGAGAGCATGGGGAGTGAGAGTGCTGATGGGGCAGAACAGGTAGGCGAGTGGGAGGGGGAGGGAAGGAGTGAACAGGGTGACGGCGGTGATATGTATAGTGGTGCTATCGTGGGGGAAGAGTCGGAGGAGGGGGATAGGGAGACGGAGGAGGAAGAGGAGGAGGATGAGGAGGAGGAGCAGGAGGAGCAGGAGGAGCAGGAGGAGCAGGAACAGGAGGAAGAGGAGGAGGAGGCACGTTATGGCAACTCTTTCCCTCCACCCTCCCATCCCTCCCACTCCTCCCATGTCAGCAACGTGCCTCCCTTACCGCCCTCGCTCCCGCCTGCTCTAGCCGCCCGCCTCGAGTCTTTCTCCCCCTATACCCGCGTGACCTCATGGTATGCTGATGATCCCCAGTCCATGCCACAAGCCTTGGGGGGCGCTGGGGGCATGGGAAGAATGGGGAATGGTGTGATGGCGTATGGTAAGGCAATGCGGAGTTATAGCAACAGGGATTATGGGGTGGGGGTAGAGCAGGGTAAGGCAATGAGGAGTTATAGCAATAGAGATTATGGTGGAGGTGTAGAGTATGGTAAAGCAATGCGGAGCTATAGCAACAGGGATTACCAGGGTGGGAATGCGCAAGGCACGGCGCTTCGGAGCTTCAGCAACAGGGATTTTGGCGTGGGAAGGAGAAACGGGGCGGAGCTTGGGAGGGAAGGAGCGGTGGTGGAGGGAGAGGAAGGGGGAGGAGGAAGGCAAGATGGAGCTTGGAAGGAAGCATGGAGGCCGTTTCAGGGTGTTTCGGTGCAAGCTGTGGGGTCACGGCTTGGCAATCGAGGTGGTGCTGTTGCTGGGGATGGCATGGGTGGGGCAGGGGCGAGGGTGGTGGAGGAGGAGGTAGAGGGAAGGGATGAGGAGCAGGGAAGACTGTGGGAGGAAGTTAATGAGGAGGAGGAAGACGAAAAAGAGGAGGCATTGGAGGAGGGTAGATTGTGGGAGGAAGTGGAGGAGGAGGAGGAGGAGGACGACGACGACGAGAAAGATGACGAGGCAGTAGAAGAGGGCAGATTGTGGGAGGAAGCAGAGGAGGAGGAAGAGGAGTCAGAGGAGGAAGGGGAGGGAGGGTTAAGGGAGCAGGAGGGATCCCGGCAATTGCTATGGAATGACGGTGAAGCTATAGAAGAGGGGAGTGAGGAGCGGGAGCAGAGCGAGGGGGATGAGGCGAACGAGGAAGGTAGGGGAATTGAGGGGAGTGAAGGGAGTGAGGGGAGAGAGGAACAGAGGTACGGCATGGAGGAGTATGGAGAGGGGTTGGATGGGGATGGAGGGTGGGACGGAGAGGGAGGTGGAGAAGGGAGGGGGATGAGAGGGCAATACGGAGGCATGGAGGTGGGAAGTGATAGTGATGGGGCTGAGGAGAGTGGGATGTTTGACGGGCAATTGGAAAGGGTTGTGGAGGAGGGAATGGGAGAGGGAGAGGGGGAGAGAGAGGAAGAAGAAGAGGGATGGGTGGGAGAGGAAGGAGATGGGATGAGGGAGGTAAAGCAGGGGAAGGAAGGGAAGCTATGGTCAGATGATGAGGAGGAAGAAGAGGAAGAAGAGGAAGAGGAGGAGGAGGAGGAGGAGGAGGAGGAGGAGGAGGAGGAGGAGGAGGAGGAGGAGGAGGAGGAGGAGGAGGAGGAGGAGGAGGAGGAGGAGGAGGAGGAGGAGGAGGAGGAGGAGGGAGGAGGTCCAGAAGGGCACATGGTCACTCGTGAGGGCTTGATGATGGTTCGAGCTACGGCTTCGGGGCCTAGCGAAGCAACAGCAGCAGCAGCAGCAGCAGCAGCAGCAGAAGCGGCGGCGGCGGCGGCAGGAGGTGCTTATAACGCGGATGGGGCCTACGGGAGTGGTGGTGATGGTGCGTCCTTGCAGCAGCAGCAGCAGCAGCAACAGTTGCCTCAGGAGAAGTTCCTAGACAGTCAGGTCCCGTGGAAACCTCAGTCTACATCAGAAGAGACTGAGAGTGAGAGCGGGGTGATGGACGCATTTCCAGTCACTGCTGCTGCTGCTGCTGGTGGTGCTGCCGGTGCTGCCGGTGCTGCTGGTGCCAATGCAGTCAATTTCTCTGCTGGTACTGCTGCTGCTGCTACTGCTGTTGAGGAGTCTACTGAAGACGAGGCTGAGAGGAGGAGGAGAGAGCGGGAGCAGAAGCGGGAGCGGAAGGAGCGGCGGGAGCGGAGGGAGCGGCGAAGGCAGTCGACTCTGTCGGCTTTAAGTGGGCATGAGAGTGATGCTTCGGCGATGGAGTGGCGGCAGGAGGAGGAGGAGCATAGAGAGAAAGGGCAGCCTGGAGTTTTGGTGTTAGGGCAGCAGGTGGTGTTGCTAAGGGGAACAGGAGAAGGAGAGGATGCGTTTACTTCTGATGCAGGGAATGAGGAGATGGGGGGACTGGTTGGGCAGGGTGTGGGGAGGGTGAGTGGGATTGGGTTGGCTGCTGTGGCTGCTGGGGAGAGGTGGAGTGGTGGAGAAGATTTGGGTGGTGGTGTGGGGCAGAGAGAGGTGGGGGTGGAAGGGAGGGAGGGAGTAGGGAGGGAGTGGATGGATGTGGAGGGAAGGATGAGGATGGATGAAAGGATGGATGAAAGGGTGGACGAAAGGATGGATGGGCGGATGGATGGAAGGGTAGGCAGGAAATTGGTTGAAGGAAGAGGTGAGGGGATGGGTAAAGGGATGGAAGAAGGAGTGGGGTCTGAGGTCCTGGTTATTGAAGCACTTGCCGTGGGGAAGAAGAAAGGAGAGGAGGGGAAGAGTGGGAAGAAGAGTGGATCGAGTAAACACAAGTCTCGAGGGGAGGAGAAGGAGGGGAAAAGCTCCCGAAGCGCAAAGAAGAAAGGGGACGGAGAAGGGGGAGGGGAAGGGGAGAAGAAGAAGAAAAAGAAAAAGAGCAAGAAGAAGAAGGAGCATGAGCAAGAGGCTGGAGAGGGAGAAGACGGGAAGGAGAAGAAGAAGAAACGGAAAAAGAAGAAGAAGAAAAGCAAGGAAGGAGAGGAGGAAGGGGCTGAGGGTGAGGAGACAGACAAGAAAGTCAAGAAGTCTAAGAAATCGAAGAAGAGCAGTAAAGGGGAGAAGGAGGGAGGAGATGGAGATGCAGCAGGTGGGGATGAGGCAAAAAAGAAGAAAAAGAAGAAGAAAAAGAAGAAGAGCAAGGAGGGAGGAGAGGAAGAGGGTGAAGAGAACAAGGGGAAAGAGGAGAAGAAGCGCGGAAAGAGCAAAGGTAAAGGGAAGAAGAAGGAGAAGGACGGAGCAGGGGAGGAGGGAGACGGAGGGGAGGGCAAGGAGGAGAAAAAGAAGAAGAGTAAGAAGAAGAAAAAGAAGGAGCATGAGAAGAAAAAGAAGAGCAAAAAGCTCGGGGGAGGAGGAAAGGAGGAGGGGGCGTTCGAGGATGGGGGAGAAGATGGGGAGGGTGCAGGCTTCGTGGGAGGGGAAGGAGAGGAGGAGCAGGGGGGACAGGCAAGGCTGAAGAGGTTGGTGGAAGCTGGTAGAGTAAGGGACAAGAGAGCCATGAGTGCTGCAATGGCTAGGGTTGCAAAGTGGGTGGACGAGAGTAAGGATGCACAGTGCAGGGCAGTGCAGGGTTTAGGAGATTGGGACAGTGGAGGAGAGGGGGAGGGGGGAAGGGAACGGGGCATGGGGGTAGGTGGGTTAGAGGAGGAACCTTGGAAGGGGGCGGAGGGAGGGGAGTGGGATTCGGATGGGGAAAGCCGAGCAGGGGAAGGGGAAGGGGGAGGGGAAGGGAGCCTGGTAATGGCGCAGGTTTCCCCCATGATGGGGGGGTTGTCCCCCCCCATGCGCGCTTCCCCCCAGCAGAGCTGGTCCGCCTGGAGGGGGGATGAGGGGGAGGATGACGAGGGGGAGGAGGAAGGCTTTCGGGGGTTCAATGGAGTAGGTGATGGGAGCGTTGGGGAGGGGGGAGAGGTATTGCAGGGACGTGGGGAGTGGGGGGAGGATAGAGTAGGAAGAGGAGTGAGGAATGAGTCTGATGCAGGGGAGGAGGATTGGGGGAGCGGACAGGAGGGGGGGGGTGGAGTGGCAATGGCAGGAGCAGCGGCAGCGGCAGCGGCAGCGGCAGCGGCAGCGGCAGCAGCATCACAGCAGCATGGAGCAGGATATACGGGCCAAGGAGCGCGTTACATGAGTCAGGAGCAGAGAGAGGAGGAGGAGTATGGGGGAGGAGAATACCTAAATGAGCATGCATATGGCAGTGAGGAGGAGGAGGAGGAGGAGGAGGAGGAGGAGGGGGAGAGAGAGGAGAATTCGAGGAATTCTAGTGGTGTTGCTAGGGAGAGGGAGAGGGAGGGAGAGGGAGAGTATGTGGAGGAAGAGGAGGAGGAGGAGGAGGAAGAGGAGGAAGAAGAGGAAGAAGAGGAAGGTGTAGAGAGTGTGGGGAGAGAGGGGGACGAGTGGGATGAGGCGGAAAGGAGAGAGCAGAAGGAGGATGGACGGGGGCATGGGAGGGATGTGTGGGAGGAGGGAGAGAGTGGGGAAGAAGAGGAAGAGGATAATGAGGAAGAGGAGAGGGCAGATGAGGATATGGATAGTGAAGGCGGAAGGGGCATGCCATGGGGAGCAGGAATTGGGCAAGGAGGAAGGGCAGGAGAGGAAGAGGAGGAGGAGCAGGAGGAAGAGGAGGAGGAAGAGGAGGAAGAGGAAATGAGTTTAGAGGATGGTGATGGCAATGGTGACAGCGGGTTTGTACCCTTAGCTATGGCGATGCCCAGTATGGACCTTGACGGCCTTCCGTCTGTGCATGGCCGAGAGGAGGACGAGGAAGAAGAGGAGGAGGAGGAGGAAGAGCAGGAGGAGGATGAAGAGGGGCGTAGTACTGAGGGGAGTGAGGAGAACGAGGAGGATCCGTTTCACAAGCATCATTCCCAATACCAGCAGTATCAGCAGCAGGAGCAGCAGCAGCAGCAGTACCAGGCACAGCAGCAGCAGCAGCAGCAGCAGCAGCACCCAATGTATCATGGCAAGCGGCCGTCAATGGTCCCCACCAATGCTGCTATGGCAGGCAGTGATGACAGCGAAGAGCAGAGCGGTGAGGAAAGAGATGAGCAGTACAAGGCACAGCAACAGCAGTACCAGGCTCAGCAGCAGCAGCAGCAGCAGCAGCAGCAGCACCCAATGTATCACGGCAAGCGCCCGTCAATGGTCCCCACCAATGCTGCTATGGCAGGCAGTGATGACAGCGAAGAGCAGAGCGGGGAGCAGAGCGAAGAGCATAGGGATGGGCATTACGAGGAGCATTATGATGAGGAGAGGGATGAGCAGAGCGGGGAGCAATATGATGAGCAGAGCAGTGAACGGTATAATGAGCATAGGGATGAGCGCAATGGGAGTAGCCAAGACGAAGAGGGTCAACAAGACAGAGAGGACGTTAGTGGGGATGAGGAGGAGGAGGAGGAGGAGGAGGAGGAAGAAGAGGAGGAGGAAGAAGAGGAGGAGAACAGTCGTGAGCAGTATGAGCAGGAGATGCGGTACGGGCGGGAGGGGGTGGAGGGGGGCGAAGAGAGTGAGGAGGACAGACAACAGGACAGCCAGGCTTATGGGCAGAGTCAGGAGTATGAGCAAAGCCAGGATTACACACAGAGCCAGAAATACGAAGAGAGTCAGGACTACACAGAAAGCCAGAAATATGAGCAGAGTCAGGATTACACACAGAGCGGGGAATACCATCAGAGTGGGGAAGGGTACAGTCACCCTCACAACCAGCAGAACAGGCACAGGCACAACGAAAGCCACAGTCAGGCCAGTAGTGGTTCAGGAAGTGTTCCCTTGGCTAACCCGCCGGATTTCCCCTCTCCCTCCCATGCTGCTCCAGCCGCCTTCCCAGACACACCCATGTCTCTAGACTCGTCCTCGATCGCCCTCGCCTTACCGGCCAGTAACGGCATCTTCAGCAACAGCAATGGCAACAGCAACGGCAACAGACCGGGGCCTCCTTATCTAGCTCCCCTCCGCACCCACAACAGCGATAGCAGCGAGGAATCTCTAGACCTTGCTGCTGCTGCCGCTGCTGCTGCTGCTGCTGCTGCTGCTGCTGCTGCTGCTGTGGGTGGTGCTGGTGGTGGTGTTACGGCAGTATCTGTGTTTCCTGGTGGCAAACCGCCGTCGCGCCAAGCGTCCATGGTGGCATCTCAGCCCATCTCCAGACAGGTGTCCAATCAGGGGCCGCCACGTCAGCTGGGCAATGCTGCTGGTGCTGGTGGTGGTGGGTGGGGGGGGGTGAACGGTCATGGAGCGATGGGGAGAGGCGAGGAGAGTGAGGAGGAGAGTGAGGATGTAGTGAGTGCTGCAACATCGTCCGATGGTGAGGTGGTGACTGCAGCGCCTATGGCAACAATGGAATTAGTGGAAGGAGAAGAGGAGGACGAGGAGGAAGAAGAGGAGGAAGAGGAGGAGGACGAGGAGGAGGATGCTAGTGGCTCTGATATGGATTCGCTGCACGATTCAGTGAGGGGAGGAGGGCGTGGAGGTATGATGAAAGGAATGGCGCTTCATCCTAGTTCTAAAGTGGCTGTACAGCCAATCAGAGAGGCGCAGTGGGAAGAGGAGGAGGAGGAAGAGGAAGAAGAGGAGGAGGAAGAAGATGAAGAGGAGGAGAGGGGACACAGAAGAGGCAGAGGCAGTAGGGCGGCGAATCATGGGGGGAGTGTGGAGAGTGGGGAGGAGGGCTCAAGTGATGCAGAGCTAGCACCTGTTGCTTCTCTGGTGGAGGGTGGGAAGGGGAGCGGAAGGGGGAGTGGGAGGGGGAGCGGAAGGGAGAGCGGACGGGGGAGTGGAAGGGAGAGCGGGAGCAGGAATGGGAGCAGGAGCGGGAGCAGAAACGCGAGTGAGCATCCTGCTGGGTTTAGAGACGGATGGGGAGGGGATTCTCTTGACGGAAGCATGGAAGGGGACGAAGAGGAGGAGGAGGATGAGGAGGAGAGTGATGACGATGATGATCTGGCAAGGAGTGGGTATGAACCACCCTTGGCAATGCCGGTGGCAGCAGCAGGAAGAGGGGGAGCGGGTCACAAGAACAGCAGGGGTAATCGCTGGGCTGGGGGTGGTGGTGGCGGCGAGAGCAGCAGGGACGGCGACAGCAGTACAGCAGGCGGGGACTTCATGAGTGAAGCTGATTCAGAGTTTGGCGTCCCGATCGCCATGCCACTGGATGCTGAGGAAAAGAGGAGGATTATTCGAGCAGCTTTGCCTGTACATAGTGAGGATGATAGCGGTAGCGGGGAGGAGCATGGGAGGCGGCACCGGAGGAGGGGTGGTGGTGGTGGTGATGAGGAGGAGGATAGTGAGGAGCATGATTACACTGAGAGTGGGGACGAGGGGATTGCGACTGGGGAATTCACGAGCGAATTTGCTCCTCCCATTGCCATGCCTCTTATCCACGGCACGGCTGTTGCTGTAGATGATGATGATGATGATGACAGTAATTTCAGCAGCCAAGAACTAGATGAGGACGAAGAGGAGGAAGAGGAGGAGGACGAGGGAGGAGGAGGAGGAGAAGGGGGAGGAGGACGGAGAGGTGGTGGGAAAGGGAGGAGGAAGAACCGGAGCAGGGGCAGCAGCCGGCGCAACCAGGACTCTTTCAGCGATGCGAACAGCGAGCTCGGCGCACCGATCGCCATGCCCGTTGCCTCGGAGGACTACGAGAGCAGTCAAGGAGACTGGGACCAGGGCGAGTTTTCCCGGAGACCCAGCCAGAACAGCAGCGGCCCGCTTGCTGCACACCCGTCCTCCTCCTCCTCCCGCATTCCCGTCGGCGGCAGCAGCAGGAAAACCGCCGGGTTGCCTCCCGCCGTGCCCCGACCGAAGGGCGCGGCAGGAGGAGGAGGAGGAGGAGGAGGAGGAGCGAGCGGAGCGGGGGATGGGCTGCGAGCACAGAAAGCCATGGTGGATGCTCAGAACCCGTTCAGGGGAGGAGGAGGGCCTCCTTCTGTGGCTTCTTCTCAGGATTACACGGTGGTGCATGGGACTGGGAGGCGGGCGGTTGTGCCGCTGAGAGGGGCGGCAGGGTCCGGGAGGAGTGGTGGTGGGAGACTGTCGGAGGATGAAGGGTCGATGCATGGAGGGATGCAGTCGGCACGGCACACTGGTCCGGTTAGGTGCGTGTGGGTTTGGGTTTTTTGTGTGCGTTGAGATGGGTGAGAATGGGTGGATTTTGCTGTGTGGCTGCTTGTGTTGTTATGCGCTACTGTTTTCCTCGCTCCAACTCTCCCGCGCTACTCTCTCACTCACGCTCGCTCTCATACACACCCACGCTTGCACGTCGTCTCTAACACACACTGAGGCATGCACCCTACACACACACACACACACATACACACACACGTTGCATTTCCTCCCGTACCCACATTACCACTTTCCCCCACTTCTCCCTCAGCAGAACCTCAAGCCTGCAATCCGACGGCTCTCCTTTGCTCAACCACACCAACACGCAGCGATCCAACCATTCGTCTGGGCGGGGGGGCACACGAGCAGACACAATCGACAGGGAGGGGAAGAGCAGGAGAAGTGGGAGGGCCAGCAGTGGAGGCAGCTGGGTAGAGCAGAAACGCGGGGGAAGCGGAAGAGGAACCAAGAAGGAGGAGGAGGGGCAGGAGGAGGAGGAGGATGTGTCAGGGAAGGATCTGGAAGAACCAAATGAGAAGCTCTGGGAGGAGGACGGCGCGGGGCTGCGGCGGATTGAGATGGATGAGTCGAAGCGGCTCCGGAGTGCTGTGTCTTCTGGCTCGTGCTTCCTGCAGTGCATGTTCAAGCGACCAGCTACTAAGGACTGAGCTTTGAGGCGATGTCTCAAAACTTGTTTGAAGCGGCTCCGGAGTGCTGTTTCGTCCGGGTCGTGTTTCCTGCAGTGCATGTTCAAACGACCGGCAACCAAGGATTGACAAGGGCAAAGGGTACATGTCACCATGTCGCCATGCCACCATGCCACCATGTCTCCATATCACCATGTCACTACCACAATGCCACCGCATCACCATACCACCATATCGACAGGACCCGTGAGCCAAGCTCTGATCAGAGGTTTGCGTCGACTCAAGAGCCACTTCGGTGTGTGTAGTTGCTTCCAGCAGCGTGTGTTCAACCGATCAACTATTCTGCTACGAAGGCCAGACCAAGCCAGAGAGGGCCATGAGCATTGAGCAGACGTATAACAGTAATTCAGTAACCAGAGTCCATGCTCAAGCATGTAGGACTTGTAGAATGGCAGCATGAGAAATTAGTGGTGGCAGAGAACAGTTGTGGTAGGAATTGTATCTATACATGAGAATGATGGCTGTGCTTCGTTGTGGAATAGAGTGTAAGAATGAACCATTGGCCTGGGTGGGCCCAAAGAGGGAAAACGAGGCACCCTGAGCCACCTTGAGGTGGTTTTGCATTTTGAATTAATGTTGGAAACAACTAATTATAAGCGCCTCTGTCGTGTCGAAACACCAAGGCACAAGCGAAGCACAACATATCGCAGCATCAGCGAGTCAACCCTCGGAGGTTGAGCAACTGCTGGAGGTTACGCGAAAGTCAAAGGTCAGCGACCTTTGACCTGACAAGTACAGCGCGACAGCAAGGACACACAACTGACTCGCTACAGAGCAGTTGCCCGAGTCGTCACTGTATCAAACCGCAACAGCAACAGTAAAGTAGTTATAACCGTATCTCTTCGTATTCCTTGTACTCTTATATAATCCTGTATCTCTTTGCTTTAATCAATCAACTTTGCCCTCACACACTAGCGCAAGGTGGTTCACAACTCTTCATTAAACGCTTCCGCTACCACATCAGTTACACCCAGAGTTCACCCCTGCAAAGATCCTAAGGGCTTTTTCTCAGCCCAACATGGTACTGTCATCACCCGGATATAAGACAGTGTTGAATAGTAGACAGGGGTTGTCTTTTATACGGGTGTCTCTTATAAACAGGCTAGCCTCATTATAAGACACCTATTTGTGTGTACGAGATAAGACATATGTGTCTTATAATCGAAACTGCAATATATTATAGTGAAAATTGAAGTACCGCGTACATTTTTACCATTGCGACACGCGAATTCTGCCACGTGCTGACTCACGTACTACCAAATTTGCCTTTGCAAGTATTCTCCATGACGTGGCAACCCGAACAATGGTTGCCGAAGTGGCACCTTCGCAACATCCACACTCATAATGAGAAACTCTTTTCAAGATGTGTGAAAATATTTCTAAGTAGTTTAAAAAAGTTTCCATTTATAAGACTTATGACACCCAAAACCTCCCCAAATACAAGATAACCCAAGCATTTTTTTTAGTGTATGAGATAAGACATATATGTCTTCTATCCGGGCGATGACGGTATGAGAGCTATCAGGGGGAATTCAACTATCAAAACACCTACAACATCAGAAGACATGGCTACTCAGAAGGAAAGGAGTTCCTCCATTGGTTCTCCCGGCACTACTCTTACTCCACCTCCTGCCTCTGGCCTACAGACAGAGGAGGGTACGGCAACAAGACCCAGGGCAACATCCACCGAGACTCCTGCGAATCAACCTGCAGGCTTCGACCAGAGCATGATGGAGAAGTTTTTCTCCTTCATGTCCTTCTACGAGCAACACCAGCAATCGGTACCTGCGCAGTCACACAACAGCAACAACAACAACGACGTGACTCCAATGAGCCTTGACGGTTCATCCTACGCACGTGGAAATCAACAGCAGCAACCTACCTTTGCTCTGTACGAGCCCCAGCGCGGCTCCGTCAGCTTTATGCCACAACCGCAGCCTGCACCTGGACAGGAGAAACCACTGGACGCACTTCAAGTTCAGTCGCAGTTCGCGCACGTTTTAAGACTTCAGACGTCAAGGCCTTTCGACGGAAAGGACTTCTTCACCTGGTCGTTCGAGTTCGACTTAATGATGGAAGGCGCGCAGATTCTTGGCTTCTTCGACGGATCCCTGCCATACCCAACAAACGGCACACAGTACGAGAAGCAGCAGTACACCTATCAGTCAATGATGGCGTATACGATTCTACTGAGGAACATCACCCCGAACCAGCAGCAGAATATACGATCTTACCGCGGATACGGCAACTCCGCCGAACTCGCATACAACCACTTGAAGAGCCTGTATCAAGCAACAGACAGCGTTAATCAGAGTCGGCTAATGGCGCAATGGACAACAGTGGAAATGAAACCAGACGAAATGGGAATAGCGTATATCAGCCGCTGTCGCGAGCTGCGCGACAAACTCCTTCGATGCGGAGGGTCGATATCTGAAGACGCCTTCGTGACAGTCATCATCGGCGGCCTCGGCCCTCAATGGCGCGCCACAAAGGCCATTCTCAGAGCTCATGGGAGAATCTCCGAGGCAGCACTCTGCGCCGAAATACACGCCGAGCAACAAGACATGGACCTGCAAGAGGAACGGCACAAGAAGAAAGCATCAGTACCCGAATTCGCGTTTCACACTCAGCGACGCTACAACAACAACAACAACCAAAGCCCGTACCTCCGTTCTGCCATCTCTGCAAGACGTCAGGACACCCGCGCACACACTGCCCGAATCGACAACAGTCAACACCACCACAACGACAGCTTCGACCCTCAAGCAGTCAAGTCACCTCCACGCAAGCGAACCCCACAAGTCAACTGCAGTCCTCAACGACATCACCGTCAACACAATCTGCACAAGGAACAAGAAATATCGTCAGCTGCATGGCAAGATTGTCAGACTCCTGCATCACTGAGTCACCACCACACTACTCACCGGAAGAACAACTCGACAACACCACACCTCGCCGCGAGTCACTTCAACCGAATCCAACGTACGCAGCCATCGCCCAGAGCGAGCCATCCGGGAAAGACACCTGGTTCTTGGACAGTTGCTGCGGACAGCACATGTGCTCCTCAGGACGCTTCGTGCAGCAAGAGTACCAACTCCAACGCGAAGTAGTCATCACCGTCGCCAACAACCAGAACCTGCGCACACGACGACAAGGCGTGGTTCAACTTCAGTCAAGAGAGACAAATGTTATACTACAGATGTCAAAGGTATTAATCGCGGAGGGACTCGGCTACAACTTACTGAGCGCCAGCCAGTTGATGGCAAAAGGCATTCACCTCGAAGCAGACAGCACCACCCAGGATTTCAAGTTGTACCACAGGAGAGGAGGTCTCTACATCGGCAAGGCAGTCTTGAAGAACAATGTCTTCGACGGGATCGTCACCTTCACCTCTTGGACACATCCACCGGATCTTGACCCAGAATTCAGCCCCGGCGGTTTCTGGTATTCACACACGATACCTGAAGCAGAAAGAATAAGAGCGTTAGCGACAATTCAACATCTGGTAGCAGCAGAGACAACATCGGCAGCAGCAGAGACAACATCGGCAGCAGCAGAGACAACAGCGGCAACATCAACACCAATCGCTGGTCCTTCAACGGCACCGATCTTCGTCGACGACACACCACCGACACCCGCGCAGCAACTGCACCCAGCACCACGAGAAGTTCATCGAAGCGCCAACTTCACCGCCAGCTTCTATTCCAACTCCGATATGTATCGGCGCTCACCCGGACATCGTGCCACCGAAGGAACCTGGCACGCAAGAATGGGACACCCAAGCAACACGGTGTTAAACAACACGATAAGAGCAGGCGTGCTCGACAAAGACTCTCTACTCCTAACTGACGGCAGAGAACTTCAGCGAGCCCGTGGAACATGCTTCACCTGTCCCGAAGCTGACTTACCGCATCAATCGTTCGCGTCTCACCACAACCCAAGTGCACTAGCTTACGCGCCACTCGAGAAGGTGTACAGCGACATCCTGTACAACCGCGAGCCTGGACAAAATGCGTACAATTACACCATCACCTTCATCGACGCAGCCACTCGATACGTCTGGCACCTAAAACTTCCAAGCAAGGACATGGCCTTCGAAGCCTTCGTCGCCTGGCTTCCAGTAGCAGAACGAGAATCGGGCGTCAAACTAAAAAGCTTCCAGTCAGACGGGGGAGGAGAATACACCTCACAGAGGTTCAAGGAGTACTTGGCAGAGAGAGGAATCAAGCGACTCATCTCTCTTCCCTACGCCCATCAACAGCAGGGTGTAGCAGAAAGGATGAACATGACCCTCCAGAACACCATGCGCAAGCTGCTACGTGGCATGCACCTGCCCAACCACCAGTGGCCCGAAGCAATGGGCCACGCCGTCATGCTGCACAACTTGCTCTCGTCATCATCGCTCCCGAACAACGCATCACCGCATCTGCTGTGGACAGGAAAACTGGGCAGCACAAAAATGTTAAGAGTCTTCGGCTGCATGGTACAGTACCGGCCTCCATCTGCACGAGCTGGCCGATTCTCACAACGCGCACAGTGGGGACTACACCTGGGCATCGAAAAACACTACAACGCATGGAAGATTTTCGACGTCGAGACAAAGAAAACAGTAGCAGCACGTGATGTCATCTTCTACGAAAACCTCACCCTCCGGTATTACCTTGCCAACTTGCAAGAAGGAAACCCCGATCGCTCCGATGGTTTTCTTGGCACCCGAGCCTTCGCCTCGGAAGACGACGAAGCTGACTGGGACGAGCAGAACGTGGAAGGAGCCTCGGAAGAAGCCGGACCCCTCCCCTACTGCTCCGTCGACGTGCCAATGGACGACGAAAACCCACGCGAAAGCATCAACGCCGAAACCTATTACCATTTCGCTGACAACGCTTACGTTACACCTGCACAGGTCAACACCGACGAAGCAGAACGCGTAGGACCCAATTTCGCACCTGATCCAGAAGCGGGAGACGAAGCTGTTTATCTCGCGGACATGTCACTTCCCCGCTACACACAGAGTGGACTCCAGATACTCGGGCTCGTCACCGCAGTCCACGGCACGGCCATTCCTAAGGAGCCTGCCACAGTTCAGCAGGCTCTGGGGGGGGAGCATAAGGGAAAATGGCGCGAAGCCATGGACAGGGAATTAAAGGCACTAGAGGAGCGCAACACCTGGAAAGTCGTCCCTATCAGTGTGGCGCGGAACAAAACGATTCTCACCGGAAAGTGGGTCTTCCGAGTGAAAACAAAAGCAGACGGCACCATCGACAAATTCAAAGCACGCTGGGTTGTACGTGGCTTCGACCAGGAACACGGACCCGACTTCACCGAGA